CTCTGAATAAAGGCTAAGACAACTGAGGTCATTCACATTAGAGAAGACAAGGCCAGAACTTTTTTGCTCTCTCGTGTGTGTTTGTGTGTGCTGCAGGGGAGGAGGGATATTGGTCAATATTTTCCCCTTGAAAAAACAAGCCGAAACGAAAGTAGCGAGTATCAGTTGGGCACAGGAAATTTCATGAATTCCAGTGAACACTTGGAAAATCACCTAAGAAGTGCAGAGACCAGAGGGGTCTGCCCCGCATGGTTTGAACATTCACTGTTCTAGGAATTAGGGCCTAAACCGCATGATTTGTTGTGGGTTCTGTCCAGCTCTCTTGCTCTAGAGCCATGTCAGGTCAGCCAAGCAGGCAGTTTCAAGAATCTCCAAGAAGGTTCTCATAGCAACGGTTTGAAAGCAACTTCACTACGTTAAGCTGCTATTTTTCCTACTGCCTGGTCAGGAAGAACGTTACCTCCAAAGCCACCCACGTCAGCGCCCCTGACCTACGGGGGCTTGCCCACCGTTCTCCTCTCTTCTCCCCAGCCTCGCCCACAACTGAGTCCCCTCACTCTACGTTACAGGACAATCTACTAGGACAGTCTCCGCTTCTCGCTTCCTCTTCTCTTACGTGAACTGTTCCCTCCCAGACGGATGGCCACATCGCCCTCTATTTTCACTTCCTAGGCACCCTCTACTCTCCTCGCTCCACCTACTCTCCTTAGCGGCACCACCCCCAGCCCTATCCCCACGCCCACCCCCTCACATCATCCAAGACGCTTTCCCCCTCCAGCTGCCCAGCTCCATTGATGTTGCCGAAAAGGAAACCGGTTAAAGAAAACGAGCCGCCTCCACCAGAATCTTCATCGCTGTCGGTATCTGACATGATGGCGGCTGCGGTGCCGGCAGCGGCTGTGGGCAGCAGCAAATCCCAGTCTGGTCCCATACACCGGAAATAAAAACATTCGTCGCCCAGAAGTGACTCACAGAGCTCCTTGACCCTATCAGCCCCTACCGGAAGCGGAATAAAGAAAAAAATAACCGGAAAGGCCGGCCGTCCTACGAGAAAGGAGACTTGGCGTCACTACTTTACTAATGGCTTTTGATTGGACCATACGCGTCCAGGGAGCTGGATATGCGGAAAGCGGTTGGTCAAAGAAATGTTTGGTCCCGCCCCCTTCCGCTTTTCGGCACGCGAGCATTCTCATTGCGCCACATAAGAGCGACGGCTTCCCCTCCAATCAGAAAGAGCTGCCTGGGTAACGTGGCCTACGTCCTGGTAGCCGCGGGTCTTCACGTCACAGTAACACGGAAGTGAGGGTTAGGACTGGGCCTTCTCGTCTTGTGCTCATCTGCTGCTTCACTGCTGGGTCCCGAAGAGAGACTGGCCGTAAACTGTGCTGTGCCGAAGATACCTTTGCAAGTTAGTTGTTTAGAATTGACGTTTCCCCACAGAAATGGACCCCCCCCCATTTTATTTCGGGAAATGTAAAAGATGTGTAAAATAAGCTGCCATTTCATCTGAGGTCACAATTGTTAACATTTTGCCAGGTTTTTTGTTTCTGAACCATTTGAAAGTGGGTTGCAGATAGCGTGATTCTTCACCTCTAAAAATACACATTTTTCTCCACAACCACAATACCATTATCACATTTTTAAAAATTAACATTAACTCAATATCCTTTAACATACAGCCCATATTTAAATTTCCCCACTGTCCTAATTGGAGCATTTTGCATTTCAATCCAGGATCTACTCAAGCTTCATGTAATTTGGTTGCCTCCCTTTAATCTTTAATCCAGAATTCAGCAGCCTTTTTCTTTGTGTTGCATGACACTACATTTTTGGAAGAATCCGGGCAAGTTGTCTTGAAAATAGTCTATATTCTGAATTCGTCTGATTGTTTCTTCAAATTGATTCAGGTTAGATATTTTACTGGCCATCAGAAGGCACAATGTCAGATTGTCCCAATATTGGTGATGCTAAACGTGATCACTTCGGGAAAAAAAATGGTGACCACCAGATCTCTCCATCACAAAGGCACATTTTCCCTTTTGTAATTAGTAAATAGTTTATGGGGTGATACTTTGAGATTGTGTGAATGTTCTGTTCCCCATTGCCCTTGCACCTAATGGTTTTAGCATCCATTGATGATCCTTGCCTGAATCAATTATATTGGGAGAGTGCAAAAGAGTGATTTTTCTAATTCTTAAATTCCTTCTACATTTATTAACTGGACTTACTAAAGAAGAACTTTCCCTTTTCTTACCTTTTTTGCATTTTTTATCTTAATGTCTTATAATCTAGCACCATCGTTATCCTTTTTGATGCTCAAACTGTCCTATATTTGTCCAGTGAGAACCACTTCACTCTGGCTCCTGTGTCCTTTCAACATGATCCCATTTTTTGAGCACCTCCTTGCTTTTTTGGCACAAGATGTTCTAGGCTTACTCTGTACATTCCCTGTCCCGGACCTGATATAAGCCATTTCTCCAAGGAGTCCTGGTTCCTTTTACTGGGGAATGGTGTTTAGAAACCGGGGCATCTTTGTTTATAGGCCCTTTCAGTGAAGAGAGCTAAAATAAATAGAGTTTCTACTAATACCTCCAATTTAAGTCCAACACAGGGTTCTTCCTCACCTTTCCCAACTTCCTGTTTGTATTTTGCTTATCTTACAATAAGAACTCTGGTTGCCAACACCCATTTTCAGAATTACAAGACCAATACCACTACCAACAATAATGAATGAAATGTTCATTAATTATTATTATTATTATTAAATAATGAAATAATGTATGAAATGTTCAGAAGTTCTTCGCAGTTTTCTGTCCTTAGAATATATCCTGCTAAAGATATACAGTGTACTGTGTTTTAAAATTACTTGAATCATTTTTCCCCCCTCTGGAGTTTTCTATTTGTATTCAACTTTAGGATTGGCTTTTATTATCCTTTTTCAAAATATAATTTTATTTTTAAAATATGTAAACCTTTACATGGTTCAAAGTCAAACTATATAAAAAGCTATTCCCAAAGAAGTCTTGCTCCTATGCCTATGCCCTCTATACCATTCCCACCCATTGCCTATAAGTAACTATTTTCATTAATTTCTAGTTTATCCTTCCTGTTTATTATTTTTTTATTGAAGTATAATTGACATTATATTAGTTTGGGGTGTACAACATAATGATTCGATATTTGTACTTCCTATGTTTCTTTTTGCAAATAAGCAAATGAGTGTATATATTCTTATTTCCCCTTTTTCATTACATAAAAGGTAGCATATCATATATACATTAGTGCGCCACTTAACAATGGGGATACACTCTGAGAAACGCATCATTAGGTGATTTCATTGTTGTGCGAGCATCACAGAGTGTACTTGCACAAACCTAGATGGCATAGCCTACTACACACCTAACTATATAGTACTAATCTTATGGGACCACCGTCGGATATGTGGTCCATCGTCGACTGAAACGTCATTATGTGGCGCATGACTGTACTCTTTTCACCTTGCTTTTTTTCACTTAATAATACAGCCTGGAAATCACACTGTACCACTTCATAGTGCTCTTCCTCATTCTTTCTTTATGGCTGCTTAGTACTTGATTGCATGGATGTCCCATGGAATATTTTAACAGTAGCTAAACATTTCTAGGCCAGATGACAAAGGTCTGCCAAAACCTGCTTAGTAGCTGAAATGCTGCACTTTGGTAATGAGAAGTTAGTGGAATGCTCTTGCTATACTAATAGTTAAGACAAAAAAGCAAAATGGAATGTTTTTTTAATGTCCCTTATATTGCCTCTTGGATGTTTGTGCTTGAGGAAAAGCAGGTTCAATGAGAAGTAGATGGAGGCTTGCAGAATGTGGAAGGTGACTTCAGATTCTATAAATATTAAAGATGCCATTCTTGACTCAAAAATGTGGTTTTGCATAAATCTGTCATATGACCCAGCAATTCCACTCCTAGGTATATACCCAAGCAAAGTGAAAACTTGTCCACATAAAACCTCGTACACAAAGGTTCACAGCAGCATTATTAATAAGCCAAAAAGTAGAAACAATCCAGTTGTCCTTCAATTATGAGTAGATAAAATATGGCATATCCATACCATGGAATATTATTCAGCAACAAAAAGTGCCCATATGTGCTACAAAATGGATGAACCTTGAAAACATTATGCTAAGTGAAGGAAGCAAGTTCCAAATGATCACATATTGTTTGATTCCATTTGTATGAAATGTTCAGAACAGACAGAAAGTAGATTAGTGGTTGCCTAGGGCTGGGGGTGGGAACAGGGATTAACTGCATGAGGGATCTCTTTGGGGTGATGGAAATGTTTTAAAACTGGATTTTGGTGATGGTTGCATGACTTAGTAAATTTACTGAAAATCATTAAATTGTATACTTGAAGTGGGTGAATTTTAAGGTATGTAAATTATACCTCAATAAAGCTGTTTAAAAAAAAAAACAAACATGGTTTTGTGCTTCCTCAATAGTGCACTTAATAGTGCACCAGCACTATATACAATTACCAGCCAGGATTAGTTCAGTTTTATAACAAACAGAGGAAGGATATTTTCCTGAGATAACTGGAAGAAGCAAAGGACATTAAATGACATATTTCTTATCTTTACAACCCCAGCTCCTAGTGCAGTAATGCCTATAACACAATAGGAACTTGATCAAGGTTTACTGAGTATAATGTAATAAGTCAAAAAATCGCCTACAGGGAAGTGGTCTCTCATTAGTGAAAATCAGGAAATGAAGCTAAATCCTGGAGATGAATAGGTGGGAGGTGAGCAGGAACTAGAGAATCAATGTTAGCAGGGCAGACAGTTCTCTACCCTGATTGATGTAGGAAAATAAGTACAGTTACACATAGGTGCAATGTGCAATACGACAAATACAGTTATTTCATCCTTTGCAAGTTGAAAAGCGTTTAGAAACTATTCAAAACAAAGGGTGGGGGAGTGAGGAATTGCTTTGATTTTTAGAAAGCAATAGACCCAGTAAAATCAGAAAAGTTTATTAACATTCATTACGAATAATTTAAAAGTGATATTAACATGTTAGTCTTCATACAAATTCCTTTTAAGTATAAAAATCAAGATGTCACTGTATGCCTAGGACCATCAAATCAGTCCAATACAAAACCACTCTCTCAGACTTGTAGATCACACCTCCATTTATTAGAGGACATGAATTTGCCAAAACCAAACCCAGAGTTACATTTTGGAATTTGCCAGGCAAGGGGGGAGCAGGAGGCACTATTAAATTAAAAGCCAATTTAAAAGATTTCAGTAGCTAAACAAAACATTCCCAGAGACACAGGTGACAGCTATGTTTCTAGCCCCTTTCAACCATGAAGCCTTGTGAGCACCCCAGGCAGCATCAATCAGAACATCCCGAGACCAGAATCCACATGGGCAGTGCGTGCTTTCATTTGGCTGCCTGTGGGAAACTCAGTGACTCCACACAAGGGCAGTGAGCATGCATGCCCACAGGCCAGCTGACTGCTACAGTCACCATGCTACCAGAGGAGCAGCCCCACTTTCCAAAGTGCTACTGGGCCTTACTTGAGGAGGGCCACCCTCACCCTCTTCCGGTTAACACACTACTCATACAGAATCCCTGCCACCTCCCTCAGGAGGCCATGGGTTACATGTCGGAAAATAGACACGAGACATTGAAATTGAGATAGATGGCATATGCTGGACCATACTATCCATCCTGGATCCTCCACAGCTTTAAACAATCAACAGTGTAGAAATAGATACCAACGAAGTACTGTGTGATGTGGAGGGTGCAGTGATGAAGGAAAAACAGAACACTTTACTCCACGGTGAGGGAAAAAGAAGTAAAGGAGGAAGAATAGAGAGTCTATATAACCTTTTATCTTCTATCAATACTTGATATCTGCTTGACTTCCAAGTTCCAGATTCTCCAAGAGTAGGGTTGCCAGATATAGCAAATAAAATTACAGGACACCTCAAAACAGCAAATAATTTACTAGTATAAGTATGTCTCAAATATTGCATGGGACATACTTATACTAAAAAACTATTTGTAAAAACTTATTGTATTTTATCTGGCAACCCTATCCAGGAGGTTCAGTTAGCCTGAAGCTATTCTCATCAGATCTTGTCAAAGAGCAACAGCAAGACTGTCACAGAGCAAAGGACAGACACTTCACCCACCACAGGCGGAAGTATGTGATCCTTTTAGTTCCATTTCCCAAACACTTGAAAATCCAATGCTGTTTTGGCAAGGTGAGAGGATATGTGCATGGTGGAGTTGTCAACCACTGTCTGCCAGGTGGAGAAGTAAGTTTTCCTTCCATATTAAATGAAGAAGGTAAAAAACTCAACTAGGGAGAAGCGGGAGAAGCTGGCACACCGGAATATGGAATCTGACTCCTAGTGTCCCAGAGCAGGCTGAGCAGCTACAGCAAACTCCCCACAAGGGCAAGAGCCCCAGCGCCTGGAGATCCAACATACTCCAGCTCTCTTGGAGCAACTAAAAGACTCAAGGGGTACCTAGGGCTGAACACACACACAGGGAGATGTACAGAGGAGGGAGGAACAGGAGGAGAGCAAGGTAGCCTTCATAGTGACTCAGAGGAATGACAGCAAAAGAGAAGTCTCAGAGGCAATCACAGAACTCCCTGACAATGACTGGCAGGACATTTTGTTTGATTGGTTTTATCTAGAGGGTTAACCTTCAGTGGTCTTTCCCTAAAGTGAAAGGTGACAGGGAGAAAAAAGGGCCACACAGAAGCCTCAGAGACATAGCTTTTTGGAGGGATTGTTAATTCCACATCACCAGGCCCATAATGCTGTCAGAATCTGATAGCAGATCTGACCATCAGATCCCATACCCAATGCACTATCATGACTAAGTCCCACACCCACCTCCTGAGGATGGAAGAGGAACAAATAAGAAGGCCATGGCTGCTAAACATTCCTCTCAAAGGCATGAAGAGGGAAACATCAGAAAGCACATGATCATGTTACGCTTTTTTTTTTCACAGCCTCCTCCACAGGAATTCCTAGTTCTCTGAAATTCCAGCATCTCTGAAACTGTTTCCAGAGATGTTAATAGGTGTGGCATGGGACCAAAAAAATTTCAGTGAAATAAGCTTGGGAAATGTTGAATACTTATTAAAAGTTATAAATTCCTGCAGTAGAGGAACCTGTTGAACTTTATTTAAGTCACTGGTTCCTGACTTATTTGACCACAGAACCCTTTTAAGGAACATCTATTACCATCTCAAAGAACTTTGGAAAATACTGCTTAACCATTTTTGCAAAAATGTCTCATCTCAAGAATGGGAAGAATGTGTCAACATTGGGAACACCCAGGAATCACACATAATATAGTTTTCAAAAATTAATATATCAGAAAATTTAAGACAATGATCTGAAAACTGGAGAAACTTGTCCTTCTGTGAGGCACTTGCTCAATGGCAGATACAGCCAGGAAAGCTGAAATTAAAGTTAAAAGCAGACAAGCAAAAGCGTACAAAGAGCAGTACGAGGCTGCTCTGTTTAGTCGTGGCCTGGCCAGGACAGAAAAGAATAGCACTTGGTGGTATCTCCTCTTACCCCTTTCACAAGGGAGATGCCTGCACACGCACATGCACACCCACACCCACACCCTCACACTCAAACTTCCTCCAAAAGGTTCTGACCAAACTTCAAAGTAGCCTTGTACAAACTAGCTTGCTTTTGTTCCTCCAAAAGCCGAATAACCTGGAGTCTAAGGTTTCCAGGAGAAGAGACAAATGGCTCATACTGGCATTGTTAAATGCTGTCAGAAGAATCTGCCCTTATTCTCCTTAGGTGCAGTCCCCAAGTAGCACCCCAAAAGCTATAACAGGACACACTTCTTGGTGTTTTTCTTTGTGGCAGGGTAAAGCACAGCCCGGACAGCTTCCAAAAATACCTCATGTACTCCATCCTGCATCAGGGCTGAACATTCCAGATACTTCACAGCCCCCACCTGCTTAGCCAGGGAAGTGCCTTGCTGAGGCGTTGTGGGCACTAGGCTCTGTTCCTTTAGCTTCTTCACTGTCTCAAGGTCACTCCGTAGGTCCCTCTTGGTGCCTACCAGCAGAACAGGAACATTGGGGCAATGATGGGAGACCTCTGGGTGCCACTTATGCCTCACATTGGCGTAAGAGGATGGGTTGCCAATGGAAAAACAAATGACAAAGATATTGGTCTGGGGGTAGGAGAGCGTTCGCAGTCGGTCATACTCCTCTTGGCCAGCTGTGTCCCACAGGTTCAGGCTGACGATTTGGCCATCCACAGATGTCTGGGTGCTATAGTTGTCAAAGACAGTGGGGATATACTCCTCAGGAAAGGCATTTGTTGTGTAACTGATGAGGAGGCAAGTCTTACCTACAGCCCCATCTCCTACAACCACACATTTGATCGTCTGCATTCTTCCCTTGGAGTCCTATGTACAAGAGAGAAAGAAAGAATGTTCACAGATGCTTGGTTAATTTAGGGAGCCTAAGCTTTATAAACATTTCCCTCTGAGGAGAAGAGAGGAGGTAAGACCCCCACTGCTCATCCCCTTAACACCATAGAAGAGTCAGCTGGGAAAGGTTGTATAGGACAAGAGTTCTTACCGTGGAGTCCACGGACTGCTAGAAGATAGGCTCCAGTAGGTCCTAGAAGCCACTTCCGAAGTTGTGTGCAATATTATGTGTATGTGCATAAGTGAATTTTTCTAGAAAGAAGATCCAAAGCTGCCATCAGATTTTCAAAAAGGGCTGTGAGCACAGAAAAATTAAAAAACATCAGTATACATAGTTATTTATGTTACATTGTGGTCATAAGGTCTGAATATACTGTATCAAAGGTGCTAAAATAGAGTAGGTCATGAATAAATGGTAACTAATATTAAAAAAATTGGTATAGAAAGAACATTCCCAAGGTTGAAACAAAAGAAACATGGCTCTCACTTCAGGTCTGTGGCTATAGACTCAGCAAAGGGACCTCTGTTCCTGAAAAACAGCAACATCATAACATTGGAGAGAAAGGCAGGCCAGTGAGACTCAGCCATAAAGAGAAGTAGTTGAGAGTCCAGGCTCTGAAATCAGACTGCCTGGAGTCGAAAATCAGTCCTCTCTTTGCCTAAGCTTTGTGAACTCGGGCAAGTTTCTAACCTGCGGCTTAAATGAAAGAACGCATGTGTAGTACTTATTAGTGCCTGCCACATGGGAAGCACTCACTAAGTGTTAGAAGCTACTGTGCCTTCATAATAATAATTCTTCTTCTACTATTCTACTGCTGGGGAAGGCAAAAGTTCTGTGATGTGATTACAATGCTAGCCAAACCAGGGGCCCCATCGCCTCTCACCTAATCTGAGTAAAACTACAGTCATAACACCACCATACTCTCGTCCATTTCTTCATGAATCAAGTATTTGAGAGTAAATGGTATGACATGGATGATCTCCCAGAAACATGTTTACTACGAGCTCCCAGGTTTATACCCCATATTACCACCCTGTCAATGCCCTGCCCCATCAGTGCCCCACAGCACTCCATTTTCTTTAGCTTCGTAACTACTGCCCTCAATTCAGACCCAATCCTGATAGCGTTAACTTCTTCAAGTGCCAGAACATGGAGGAAAGGGGATAAACTGTCGTGTGTATTTGATTATAAAAAAAAAAAAAAAACAATTGAGAATAAATTAGTTTCCCACTTTGGGAATTTAGGGGAATAGATACATCCCCCATCCTGGTGTCCTCTTAGCTAAGGTTTACATTAGGTCCATGTCACAGACAAAACCAAAACAAAACACCTCATTCAGGGGCAGGGTAAGGAAAAGTTGGCCTTCCAAGAATGCTTCACGCAGGCCCACTAGGGGTAGCTCTCTCCCCACAAAGCCAATTCTGACCAGCAAAGCATTCCACCTAGAAGCCTTCGTTAGCACAGGTCCCAGAGCTAAAAGTCAAGACCAGAATTCAGCTCTAGTAGGCAACCATCCCAGGGTATTCACTAACCATTAGCTCTGTATTTTTTCCATTAGGAATAGGCATAAGGATCAAACACACAAGGTCAATGGAAATGGAGCAGACTCACCATGACATTCCTTGAGAACAGCCTTTCACTTTCCCAGTCGGGATTAATTTCTTTCTCCTCTGAATACCTATGGCAATTACTACCTGTACGACTCATGTTCCCAGCCTTCTCTAGGTATCACCCAGTGTCCAACATCTCTGCTCAAAGTGACTGCTTTCAGGACAATAGTGCATCTGAGGGGGATGCTGAACCAGAGCAAAACTCTTAGGCGCAAAGACCACTTTGCACCCCAAGCTCAGCTCCTCATCTCTGTAACTGGGAAAAGGCATCTACACTAATTTCTACTTGTTTGTATCTACCAATCCTCCTTGTATATATGGCCTGCAGATGGGAACTGAAGTCACACTGATGGCTGAGGGCCTAGATGGTGAAGTGCAGCTAGAACATCCCAGGTCCAAGACAAAACCCAAAACATCCTCACAGTAGCAAACTCTCCATGAGAGGGAGGGTTCAACAAAAGTTCCAGGTGTTTTGGGGGGGCTGCTTTGTACAACTGACTCATTTATTCAGCCCATGTGTTCATTATACTATTTTTAATACTTGTGTGTATGTTTGAAATTCTCCATAGTTTATAGGTTTAAAAATAATACTAAAAAAAATCCAAAAGAATTGAAAACAGGATCTCAAAGAGATTATTTGCACACCCATGTTCATTGCATCATTATTCACAACAGCCAAGAGGTGGAAGCAATCTAAATGTTTATTGATGGATGGATGGATAAAGAAAATATTACATATATATGTTTCAGCCTTAAAAAGAAGGGAATCTTTGCATATGCTACAATATGGATGAAGCTTGAGGACATTATGCTAAGTGAAATAAGCCAGTCACAAAAAGCCAAATACTACATGATTCCACTTATATGAGGTATCTAGAATAGTCAAACTCATAGAAACAGAAAGAAGAATGGTGGTTGCCAGGGGCTGGGGGAGGGGTAATGGGGAGTTGTTTAATGGTTATAGAGTTTCAGTTTTGCAAGATGAAAAACTTCTAAAGGTCTGTTGCACAACAATGTACATATAGTTAACACTACTGTACTGTACACTTAAAACGGTTAAAATATACTAAAAATAAAAACCATACTTTTCCAAAAGGTTGGGAGCTCTGAGAGAAGGCTAGGAGTTACAGGAGAAAGGTAAATATTCTGTTCATCACCTAGATGAGAAAAGCTGGTTTATCTCGGCTCCAGGATCCAGCAGGATGCTGTCCCATTACGGATCACCCACAGCTTTCCCCTCCTCAGCATCACCACTATCCATACTCTCCCAGGTACTGCTATGGGCAATGCACTGCTAGAAGGGACTCAAAAAGGGTAAAAACAAACCAAAAAAGAATGCTAGAAGATTACAGTCTTGTGGTAAAGGCAGGACTTATACTAAAGGCAACCAATAATACACAGTAACACATAGCTCAGAGGGGAAAAAAAGTTGCTATGGGGAAGCAAAGGGCAACCAAAACCTGAGAGCCTGTTCTAGGCATTGTGCAAAGTACTTTCACACATCTTATTTAAGCCTCACAGTCGCACCGTGAAGCAGCCATCAGAGCAGCCCAGAGATCTTTAGGTGTGCCTCTAGGGTTGGAAATTGGGACAGGCCCGGAGCTGCACAGACCAGCACCCCAGAAGGCTCCCTTCCCAGTTAGTCATTCACTTTCAACCTCGGAATTAGTTTCATCTAAATCTTCCCACCTCCTCTGACAAATATACACTCTGCACAGCAGCTGATTTTCTCCTAGGTTGGACACACAATATAAAAGGCCTAATAACAGTCCAGAATGCAACTGCAAGTATTACCGTTTCTAGCACATTCTCCTCAAAGTCTCACTCTTCCCACAAGTCTGAGTCTAATCCACTTGAAAACATTCCGTAACTTTCTGAAACCAAAACAATTCGGCAGAAGACTCCCATTTTTATATACTACTTTCTACAAGTTAGTTATTTACTACATGTGGGAAGCGGAAGCTTTTTCACACTGAAGACTGACTTCTTTGGCTCAAGGCCAGTCAAAGACGACTTCAGGGTGCTCTGGCGTGAAGGAGGCCAGGCGAGCGCTCCCCAACCCGGAGCCCGCGGCGATTATCCTGCGCCTGGAAACTCAACCAGAGAGTCCACCTAGGGACGCAGCGGCAGCCACCGCAAGGCCGCTCGGCGCTTCCCTCACTCCCGCCAACCCCCCCCCCCCCCCCCCCCCCCCCCCCCCCCCCCCCCCGCCGGGGTAGTCGGTTCTGCGGCTCCATAAGGACACGTGAGCCTGGGACAGAGAGGTGCCCCAGCTCGGCTTCACACAGAGGAAGAGCTGGCTCAGCCTGCCCGAAGCACAGACACCTCGGCCGACCGCAAATCCCTCCCACCCGAGGAGCGGCAAGCGGCCGGGGATGGGGACACTCGCTGAGAAAGAGCGGAGGCGGCGGCCGCCGGGAGGGTCCGAGTCAGGATTACCGGGCACGGTGGTCGTCGCCAGCGCCGTTCGACCGCAGCCGGCGGAGCTCCCGGCCGTCTCTCGCTGGGCTCGGCGGGGTCGGCGCCACATCCGGGCAGCGGCCGAGGCCCCCAGTCATTGGACGGGCCTCGGCTCGGTGCCGCGAGACCTCCTGGGAAGTGGAGTCCTTCTAGGGCCAGCGTCGCTGGCTGCGAATCCCAGGCTGCTCAACCACACCTTCGGGTAATCGAGGCTTACTTAGTTACTCGCTTCGGAAGTCCCCAAGCCTCCCCTTTCCCTTGGCAAAGTGAGGCCACCCCTTTCTCCCCAGACCCCTGTTTTCTCCTTAAGACCAATATTAACATAAAGAGAGAGTCAGGGAACCGAAAAGTGTTAGGAAAAATGGAGGCGATAAAAGAAAACGAGGCAGTGAGCGAATTAGGGTTGCTCTCTGTCACCGTGTATTAGTTTGCACTCTCTAGAGTTTTATATAAATGGAGTCATACAGTATGCACTCTTTTAACAGCTTTATTAGATACAAATTCACATACAATTCACTCATTTAAATTGTACAATTTAATGGGTTCTGGTATGTTACATTATTCATTTTTAAAATTGTGGTAAGTATATATAACAAAATTTGCCGTTTTAACCATTTTTAAGTGTACAATTCATTGGCATTAAGTACATTCACACTCTTGTGCAACCATCACCATTGTCTATTTCCAAAACTTTTTCATCACCCCAAACGGAAACTCTGTACCCATTAAGCAATAACTCCTCATTCCCCTCTTTCCACACTTCCTGGAAACTAACGTCTAATCTACATTCTGTCTCCATGAATTTGCCCTTTCTAACTACCATTCATCTACTGATGGACATTTGGGTTGTTGACAGCTTTTGACTATTGTGAATAATGCTGCAGTGAACATTGACCTACAAGAATCTGGGTTTGCTGATTTTCTCTATTGTTTTTGTTTTCTATTTAACTGATTTCCACTTTGATCTTCACTATTTTTGTTCTTATACTTTGAATTTTATTTGCTCTTCTTTTTACTGAAGTGAAAGCTGAAGTCATTGTTTTGAGACCTTTCTTTTGTTCAAATATAAGTGTTTTTAAAAATTACCTCCCAACTACTGCTTTAGCAGAATGCCATAAGTTATCCGGCGTGGTTTCATTTTCATTCAGTTCAAAATATTTTCTAATTTCCCTTTTGGTTTCTTCTTTGACCCATAGATTATCTACAAGCGGATTACTTAGTTTGAGGATTTCTCAGAGATGTTTGTTATTGATATGTAATTTAATTCCCGCGTTTGCAAAGAATATATTTTGTATGACTTGAATCCTTTTGAATTCATTGAGACTTGTTTTGTGGCCTAGAATATGGTCATCCTGGTAAATACTGCAAGTGCACTTGAAAAGAATGTGTATTTTGCTGTTAGTGAGTGGCGTGTTTTATAAATGTCAGCCAGGTCACTTTGGCTGATAGTGTTGTTCACTTCTACTATATCCTTGCTGATTCTATGCCTACTTGTTCTATCAATTATTGAGAGAAGGGTATTGAAATCTCTGAGTAGAATTGTGGATTGGCCCTATTTCTCCTTGTAGTTTATCAGGGTTTTTTTGTTTGGGGTTTTTTTTGAGGAAGATTAGCCCTGAGCTAACATGTGCTGCCAATCCTCCTCTTTTTGCTGAGGAAGACTGGCCCTGAGCTAACATCCGTGCCCATCTTCCTCTACTTTATATGTGGGACGCCTACTACAGCATGGCGTGCCAAGCGGTGCCATATCGGCACCCGGGATCCGAACCGGCCAACCCCGGGCCGCGGAGAAGCGGAACGTGCGCACTTAACCGCTGCGCCACCGGGTGGGCCCCAGTTCATCAGTTTTTAATACACGTATTTTGAAGCTCCTACGTTAGGTGCACAAACGTTTAGAGTTATTATATCCTCTTCATTAATTGACCTCTTTACCATTATGAAATTACCTTTTTTATTCTTGGTATCTTTGCTCTGAAATCTACTTTGTCCATTATTAATACAGCCCCTGCAGCTTTCATTATCATAGTACATCTTTTTAATATACTTTTACCTCTAACCTATTTGTGTCTTTGTATTTAAAGAGCATTTCTTGTAGGCAACATATGGTTGGGTCTTGCTTTTTTACCCAATCTAATCATCTCTACCTTGTAATTGGGGGTGTTTAGACCATCTACATTTAGTGTGATTGTTGTTGATATGGTTAGGTTTGAGTCTGTCATCTTGTTATTTGTTTTCTATTTGTCCCATCTCTTCTTTGTTCTTTTTCCTCTTTTTCTCCCTTCTTTTAATCAATATTATTTTTATTCCCTTTCATCTCCTTTGTTTGCTTGTTAGCGATACCTCTTTGTTTTATGATTTTAGTGGTAACGTAAAGATTTATAGCATACATCCATAACTTATCACAGCCTACCTTCAGGTATTATTATACTGCTTCACAAAGAGTATAAGAACCTTATGTTAATATACTTCCATTTCTCTCTTCCTGGACTTTATGCTATTGTTATACATTTTACTTTTACCCCAAAATACATAGTTATTATTTTTGTTTAAACAGTTAATGTTTTAGCAGACCTTATTTTTTAGACAGTTTTAGGTTCACAGCAAAATTGAGCAGAAAGTATGAAGAGTTCTCAAATACCCCCTGCCCACCCCCCCCACACACACACAACCTCCCCCACTATCTCAAAATCCCACACCACCAGAGTGGTACATTGGTTACAATTGATGAACCTAGGTTGACACACCATTATCATGCACAATTCATAGTTTACATTAGGGTTCACCCTTGGTGTTGTACATTCTATGAGTCTTAACAAATGTGCTCACCATTATAATATCACACAGAATAGTTTCACTGCCCTAAGAATCCTCTATACTCTACCTATTCATCCCTCTCTCCCCACTAACCCTTGGCAGCCACTGATTTTTTTTTTTTTTTTGAGGAAGATCAGCCCTGAGCTAACTACTGCCAATCCTCCTCTTTTTGCTGAGGAAGACTGGCCCTGAGCTAACATCCATGCTCTACTTTATACATGGGACGCCTACCACAGCATGGCTTTTGCCAAGTGGTACCATGTCCGCACCCAGGATCCGAACTGGCAAACCCTGGGCTGCCGAAGGG